GTAAGAATAAAACTGCACTATGTTTAAAAAGAAAATAAAGTCAAAACTCAGCCATTAGGGTATGTTTTTAATTCCTTTGTTTTTGTCAGATTACATTGTCCCAAAGCATTGAAAATATCTGACTCTTGTATAACAAAGTATATTGAAAGTGACTGACATTTAATATGTCAAGATCACTGTCTTGTAATGGCACAGCAGATGGTGGGCAATATTTTGTCTCACAGAAATGATTTCTAATCAATCTATGTACGTGTTGCTCACTTCACCCACTCAACTAAATAAAGTTCAACAGCAAAGTGAACCAAGGAATTTTTAGTTTTTTCTGAGCTTTTAGACCAGCAATATTTTACACATTAAGAATCAAATCTACACCCAAAGTAGTATTTTGATTTTATATAAAATATTTTGTATCCTGCTGAATTGCAACAGGCTCATAAAGATGCATTTCTGTCTTTCACCTGAGGAATTCTTCTTCCATTAGCTGTTGTTTCTCCCAACACTTTCCTGTTTATACCTATAAAAATTAAAACAGTGATTTGGGTAAATTTGTTTTTTGAATGTACCGCTCCACTTTTCCACAGTTTAATTACTAGGAAGTACCTGGAACCTTAAATCAGATAATTGATATCTTCAAAAGAAGGTGTCGAGTTGAGGAAGCCAAAAGTCTACTCCATTTTACTGCTTATACCTTCAGAAGCTTTGTCTTCCTCCGATTTTTTACAAGGCATCTTTGGCTGCAGTTTGTATTCCCTGTGTAGCAGCTGACTGCCATTTGAATTATGCCTTCTCAGCGAGGCTATCTGGGTGTGACTGCGGATTTTGTTTTTGCTCTGTGTTTTTTATACATAATGACTGAGGACTGCGAAATAATAGTTGTGTAGATATCACATTTCTGTGTGCATCTGTGTACACTTGCCATCTAAAAATCCAGGTTTTTTTTTTCTTTTCTTCTTCTTTTTTTCTTCTTTTCCAATTTTTTGGGTTTGTATTCTGTGGAAACCAAGGGTATGAGGAATATTTCTCTGTCTGCTCTGGGGTGCCCTGACCCCCAGGAGAGCACTAACTTTGACCTTCATTCATGGAGAACGTTTTTTAGACTTCAAGATAGATTAGAATCCACAAAAGTGTGAAATGGATTATAGAGAGTAGTGTAGGTGTATCACTTAGTGAGAAATTTAGGTTTTGGGTTTTTTAGTATGTTGTGGATGGAAACAAGATGGAGGGCACAGGGTGTTGTCCTGGGTTTCTTTTTCATGCTTCTTCTTCCTTCTTCTTCATGCCTTTGGGTGGCATTTTCTAGTTGGGCAGAAAAGTCCGCATTGTGGGCTCTTTGGGATCAGTTATTGGGTTAAAGGGGAAAATAATCTAGATGTCAGTTCTTAATTGGATAGTTTAGTCTTAAAAGACCTTGTAACAAGAGATTGTTAGCCATTTTGTGCCTTCTAATAAAAAGCTGCCGAACTTAAACTACCTGTTTTACTCATAAGAAGTAATAAACACTTGAGTCTGAACATGAACTACTGTCTCAAGTGTCTTCAATCCAGACCCAGAGAAACCGACAGTATTCTGAATACAAATAAACATTACTCTATCTACCTGGCAACCAGTATGTCTAAAAGCATTTCTTTCAGACTTCTTTTTTCATCTTATCTAATGTACTTCATAGATGTTTTTGATGTTCCCAACCTACATTTGCCATTTTTCCAGATGAAATGTGCTTCTTAAGTGAAGATCCTCTAACTTCATATGCAGGAATGAAGATATAGAAGCCGTCTGTATTTGAGTTCTAGGAATTTAGGCATGTCAGATTAGTCTGTTGCTGGCTTAATTTTCCTTTTCAAGCTCATGGGTTTGTTTCCTAAATACTACTGTTGTACTTCATTGGCTTCTTACAGTAGTTATTTCTCAGTCTGATTTCAGCAAATTGAGATGGATATCAAAGTGTTGCCTCTGTAATATACTGGGCAGCCTCTTGCTTGGAGATTAGAAACCTCCTGAGAGCTGAGTTTTCTTTCTGTGTTGTAGTTCCACTGCTGCTGCACAGAGAACATCGGTATTAGCCCTTTACCAGCCTGGTGTGAGACAGGAATACAAACTTGCGGATATTACTTACTGGGTATAATTTTGTAACACTCAAAGTGTGAGCTACAGTGGATCTTAGGTGAATACTAAAAGGGAATATTTATGCATTTATATTCTTGTAATTCTGAAACAAGCAGATGGATTGACAACCATTAAAAATGAAAATTAATTGTCTATTAGTTAAGGAGATAAAAAGAGAAGTTCATATGTCCATATTAAGGCTTAGTAGCTGAATGGAAAAGATACACCTTAACATTGAGTTAGTGTGAATTCCAGCTGAATGAAATTGCTTGAGGTAAGAGCATAATCACCTCACACCCCACACATAACTGGAGAAGAGATATAGGCTGCTAATTCAGACCTTAAATAACTGTAATTGACTTCTGAAGGAGGGTAGGTAACTATTTTTTCACAGGATGCTATTGTGACTCTCTACTTGCTTTTGTGAGTCAGTCAGTGAGAGAAATACAAACTCTTACTGCTACTGTATTCAGCCTTGCGTGGAGTATAGGCTGTTCTGGCAGGAACTTTCAAAAGTTTCTTCTCCAATTGTCTTCATCCGTTTTTAATCTTCTATATTCCACTTCTGCTTGACCCATCTAGTGTCACAGAGCTGTAATTCAATTCAAGCTGAGAGGGACCTCAGGAGAAATCTAGTCCAACTCCTTGCTCAAATCAGTGTAAACTGTAAAGTCAAACATGTTGCCCTGGACTTTATCTGTTCAGGTCTTGAAACCCTCCAAGGATACAGATTACACAGTGTGTCTGGGCAGCCACTCCTGCTGCTTGGCTGAAAGTCGGGACTATACCTGATTTGGTTTATTACCATTTTCTCTTGTATTTATTTCTTCATTTATTTAATTTATTTCCCTGCAAATCCATAAAGATTGTGGCTCCCTCATTTTGCAATTTCCTTTCAGGTATTGGAAAGGTACTTCTAGACACCTCCAAAACGTTTTTTTTCCAATCTGACAAAGCCCAACTCCTCCATCCTCTCCTTATAGGGTGCATTCTCCAGCCCTAGTGATCTTGGTGGACTACCGCTTGACTCACTCAAAGTTTGCTGATGTCTTTCTTGTAGGGCAATGGACACGTTAATCATAACTAGTCCAGATATGCTCTAAACATTGCTGGGTAAAGGAAATAATATGAGCTCCTTGTGATCTTGAAAAAGATTACAATTCAGAATCCAAGAATCAAATGAAAGAAATCTGGAGGCAATTTAGTGTAGGTTAAATCAAAAGAGAATGCACTCATCTTTGTCAGAGCTCCCTGGCAAGCCCTGTCACCCTTATCTGAGAAAGCCTTTCTCTAGAAAAGTCAGCAAATTTCTTCTTTGTTTTTCTCTCATTCCAGCAAGGTACATAATACATGCAAAAAAAAGAATTTTTTGAGTTGGTGATAAGTTATAGTGATAAGATACAAGGAGCAAAGAAAAGCTTAATAAAATTAAAAGGCACATGAACTCAAACAATAAAAAGAAATCTCAGTGACTGACACAATACAGAAAGCATTGATTCAAAATTTCTGATTCAAGGGATAATAAGATTTAGCAGCTTGAAATGAATGAATAACAACAATATATAAACTTTTTATAATTAGGACAAAGTTTGGATGGGGATTTGCAGACACCGCAGTCACAAGGAACAAAGCAACTCCCTTCCTTCTGTTAGAGAGATTTCTTGTAGGCTTGCAACTGGAAAAGTCTAAACATCATTGTGGAGTTTTACATCAGGCTGGAGAGCTCATTGTCAGAGAGGATGTGTTGTATTTCAGGTAATGGTTCTGGCTGGAGGGACAAGAATCAGTTTGGTAAACACAGAGATGACAAGAAATATTTGGTATCAAATAAACCCTGTAGGGTTATGTGCTCTCAGTTAAGTTCTATCCAGATCCCTTTTCTTGTTCCTTTCATGTTTGCTGGCTTTTGTCCCTCTGCTTCTCCTGTATCTCCTATGTGAGTCAATGTCTTCAGGTGAGCAAAGGGTGAAGGAGGGAATTTTTTGGGATGCTAACGAAATATGGGTAAATAAATAAGCCTTCTCACATTGAAAATAATAATGGGTGAAACATAAGTGAATGTCTCTTTCTGTGTTTGTCAGCAAGAACACAGGTGTCAGGACTCAAATTTCTTTCTGTGTGATGATGCTTGACTGCTGGTTGGGTGCTGCAGTGGTGTTTTGAAGAGTCAGGACAAGCCAAATCTGTGCTAGCATTACTGAAAGCCAAATTATAGGCAATAGGAAGAAATGAGCGCTTCTTAGAGGATGATATGAATCTGGGCATTATCCAGAGGGGTTGTGGTTTCTCACTCCTTTGAGTTATTCAAAAAACACTTGGACAAGGTCCTCAGCTAGTAGCTTAAGGTTTCTCTGCTTGATTGAGGGAGTTGGACAAGATGACCTTCACAAGTACCTTCCTACCTCAACTGTTCTAGGAACCAGTCATCCTTTGCTATTTTTCCAGTAATAAACTTTTGAGGAAATCTCTATCTTTTGCCATAGCTCTGATAAAGCTACTGAGAAAGATATCATGTAATTGGAATCAACTATTTTAACATGTAATCAGAAACTATTCTGAAGAAGAAAAGCAGGCTGCACCATCAAGGTAAAGGTGATAGCTGTTTTCAGCTTCAGAACAAGTGAGTGAACATTAAGGCTACCTTTTAATGTCAATATAAGTAGTGGAACTGCAGCTACAAGTGGGATATATAAAAGCTATTTGTTAAGGAAAGTGCAGTGTTCTTTTGGTTGCATCATTATATTACACCGAAAAAGACAGCTCTTTCATGATGGTAGGACTTAGAGAACAAAGTGGTTATCTGCAGGATATCAGGTGAGTCTTAACAACAAAACTAAACTGCTGAAAATATGTTATTTAACTTTTTAAGGTTATCGTTCCTTTTTTCCTTGAAACAGTTGAAGCTCTGCATTTGGGAACTCTGATGGCAGCACACGGCTATTTCTTTCCAATCTCCGACCATGTTCTAACACTGAAGGATGATGGCACCTTTTATCGATTCCAGGTAAGTATTTTCAATATGTTCTTGACTTGCACAAATGGAGGTTCAAAGACCTTACAGATAAGTTCATAGCAAATATAATCATACTTTGTTTCTTACATAACCTGGTAAAAAGTATAAATTCCCCTAAAAATAGCAAATTGTAGAAGGATTTTATTTATAATTTTTCAGCAAAGTGTTGATATGATGATGACTTTTGATATTTGGAATAAAAGTGTGATAATGCTGAGTGTGGAGCTATCTCTCATGAAATAAATTAATGTACTATTTTTGAAATATAGTAAACTATATTATATTATTGCCTCTTATTCCTAGTATAGTTTGAATTTAGAAAGGGGGAGATATTTTAAATATCAAGTCTATACCAGAAATCTGATAAATAACGGAGGTAATATTTATTTTTCTTCTTTTGTGAGAGTTTCTTTACTGGTAACTCAGTAGTATCACAGTAGTGTGTATTCTTCTAGCAAGTACAGAGACATTTTTATATTGATCTGTCAGTCCCATTGCATACTACAAACGGGCAGATGGTTCAGAACAAGTTGGAAGCATAAATATGTACATAAGTCTTTACCTACACTTGCATATATATTATTCAGAAACCCACATAGTTGTATTTCATTATATTATATTTCAAACTAAGACCCTGAGAGCAGAAGCGTTGTTTTTCTAATAATGGCTAGTGGGCTAGAATTTTGCAGAACAATATTGCTAATGACTTGAAACAAATATGTCTGCAAAGTACCAGATTATGGATTCAACTGAAATAATTCACTTTGTTTGTCATGTGCCGCTTTTGACAATGGTGGCTGTGTTCTGTATTGCTCTTTCTATTAGGTGGTGTTCCTGGTCTGTATCACCAACAGCTGCTCCCAGCTCTTGTTTAGATATTTATTGCTTTGAAATGATATGATGACTATCACTATGAAATTGAGTTTGTTAATTCTTCTCTGTTGCTTCTAACTCTATTAAATGCTCAGTAAAAAAACATCAGGTAGAACAACATGTATTGTCTTCAAGATATATAGGTCAAAACTTTGTCTTAAACATTGTTTAAATAAGAAGCCATCAAGAACAAAATAGTACTGAAATTGTGATCTTTTAAATGCAGAAGAAAACTGGTGATTGGAGACCAGTCATAGTTTCAAACATCGTATTATATTAATCTCTCTACAATATTTTCACCAATATTTTGGCTCAAGTCTCATAGACCCGTGTAAAGGAAGAGAAAGACTTTTAATATTTGTGTAAATCAAAATCTTAGCATGAATAGAATTAAATATGCACAGCACAGTCTGGCAATGAAGAGAGTTATCGCATACATGCAAACAATATTATCCAGTTTTCATATTTAGATCTTGTGAGTCAGACTGCAAAAAAGTTGTTCTTCAGCAGAACAGAAAGTTAGATGTGTACATGGGTAAAACTAAGAGCAAGCATTCCAAGCCTCCTCCCCTAGATCCACAGTTACCTTTGGTCCTGGAAAGACTATTTGAAAGAAAAGGGGTTTTTTAAGCTCATGAAGCTTCAATCCCCTCAGTGCTCAGTATAAAGAAGAGTGATGGCACATGGTTGAAGGGGCTTGCTGATGTCCTTATAAGGTAAGTGGAAAGGAATCCTGAAGTGGTTGAGGCTCCAGTTCTTGGCTTGGTGTCTGAATAAGCAGTGTCCAGAAGGACAAAATATACAAGGACTTAATTTTGTGGAGAATAGTACTTTCAGGAGTGCTAGTCATTGAATTCTGCACAGCTGCCTCCATCTCTAGCACAAGAAATAAGCACCTCTACTGGCATGACCGTCTGACTGAAGCAAAGTACAGACTAGAATTAGCTGCACCGTGGACCACTGAGAGTACTGCAGCTACCCTGCTGTGAGCTTTCCTCAGAGAGGTCCACAGCCCACATTTGGACACAAAGCTTCAGCAAGGGCTAGACTGTATAATCTTCTCAGTGTATTTGCATAAGTTAAGAATTTGGTACCTATTTGACAAGTGCATGTGAAATAAGGCGCTTTAATCAAGTGTTGCTCAGTCTGTATCTGCAGTGTTTGGCTTGTTTGCTGTTCTCTGGTACCTTTTTTGTGTTGCTATTCCTATGCGAAAATGTGACTTTGCTGTTGTGACAATGCAACTTCAGCTGTTAATATATAGGATGAGAAAAAAATCATAGTGGTGACATACTGCTAACTGGGGTTATAACAGCAAAATTTGTGTGCTTACATCTCCACGTTCCCACCAAAATAACCTGGTATAAAATCTGTTACTGAACTGCTAAATTAGAAGATGAAGAGAACATATTAAATGGGGAGGAAAGTTTGACTGCAAATGTGTGAATTTTACACTAGAATAGATGTTCATGTTCTCTGCACATAGTACCCTCTTAGTACTGGACAGGATTCACAATTTCTGGATATTTTGATAAAAAGAGAAAACCATGCACCTGCCAGCACTGAAAAGTTCAGAAGCCAGATCTGCAGAGAAATCTTTGCAATACAAAGACCTAACCTACAAAAACCAGACTAGCTATAGTAATGTTCTCCATGTGCTTGATGTTTTGTTCTCAAAAGGGTGACACATTCCCTCCTGAGTAAAATTATCTCTAGCTTGTTTTAAACCACCTTCTGTTGTATAGAAATAGCTAAAAGCAGTGCAGATTGAGCTTCATTTGGACAAATGCCCATTTATGGGCAAAAACTATTCTTTTCCAGTTATTACTCTGTTCCAGTTATTACCATCAGGAGGTAAGAGTATAGTTACATCTGCTTTTTTAAATAATATGAGATTAAAAAAAATTATGGATCATTCAGTGACCTACTCAGGTGTTAATTAGGTTCATTTCTGTGCTATCAATTTAATTCAAAGGAGATGAATATAAATATTAATTGCCTTATTAAGAGAGGAATTTTTTTATTAGGCTCCATAAGAAAAAGCAGAAACAGCTGCATTGCCTTTTCCTGGTAATTTAAACCTGTGACCAAAAAAGGAGCTCACCATCTTCCTCTACCTGAGAGCAAATAAATATGAGGGGCCCAAATAAGAAAAGAAAGCTGCATCTTGGGAAACATATCTTCCCTGGACCAGGTATTTCATTTATGTCCACACAAATGATAATATGTCCATCTTGAAGAGGAATGCCTGACTTGCCCTCTCAGCTGGTAAGCCTCTGTAATACCATCCCACAAAAAAAAAAAAAATGCTAATTTCCTCAACAAGCCCTGAATGCATAGTGTCTCCTGATGTTAATTGTGAAAAATAACATTTTCCAGTATGTTTTGGCTGTAAACAAACTCCTAGGATACCCAAGACTAGTGGTAGTCACACTCCCATTTTTAAATGAGATTAATTCATAATTTAACATTAATTAATTTTCTGAGATGAGGGTTAGGTTTTGCTGTTGTTTTGTACCTTTTATGATGAAAGGCAAAAATATCTGAGGAAAAGTATGAAAACAGGAACAGTTTCATGTGAAAGCAAGAGTGAAGACAGCAGCAAAATTCATGGACCTTGGAAAGACAAAGGTATGGACTTTGGTATCTTGTCCTGTTCTGCCACTGGGAATGCTTTCTTGACAAATGCATTTAACCACTCTGGTTTGTTTTCCCATTCCTAAAATTCAGGATAAAATTGTATAGCTATTACTGTAAGGATCTTGAAATATCTTTGTTGCAAAATAGTTTAGAGTGTGAAGTGTTATGGATACCTCATGTCTCAGGTGGAGTTACGTTGCTTTACACATCTCTTTGGGTCAGCCTTACTGAGCTAGCTTCTTCTTGGCTCATTCTGGACCAGCCTCTGGCCATTCTGAATTCTGAGTCTGTGGCTGAACATCACAGCTCTTCAGCCACTCTCCAGAGCTCTTCTGGATCACCTGCTGTGCCTTGAGGGAAGGATTTTATTTGAAGCCAGATTTTAGAAATGAAAAAGAAACAAGTCATATTATGCAGAATTTGGCAGATTTTTTTGGCAGTTGCAGGTGTGATAACTAATTCATTGTCTTTTCAGGTCAGGCTTGGTATATACAGGTTCTGTTAAGGTTTCTGAGGGAAAAAGATTTTAAATCTATATGTCTTCCTGACTCCCCCATCAGTGCCACTTTTGATTTTTTTTAACTCCTTAATCAGGCACACTTTGCCCCACACTGCTTTCCATGCTCATCCTCTTTTTGATTAGAAAAGAGGAGTCACAGAGCCAAAATCTTGTTTCCAGATTCCTCAACCTCTTTTTTAATTATACTGAGCTAACCATGGAGCACTACTTGCTTCCTGTATGGGATTGACAGTGCTAGACTAGCATTCTTACCCTTTTGCTTTACCAAGAAATAATTTTTGTGAAGTGCAATGAATATGAAACAGAATGCCAGTGAAATCTGCCATCCATCATGGAAAGCATTTGAGATTGTGCATAGCCACTTTTCAGCAGAGGCTTCATTTCTGCTGTTTATAAAGACTCCCTGGTGCCTGAGAGAAGAATAGCAGTAATATGCAAAGGTTTATAAGTGATTTGAATACTCGTCCCCCATCCAAGTAATTGGATTTTAAAAAATTTTGTGGAGTGGAACACAGCAGCTTCAGAGACAACTCTTTTCTTATTACTATCAACAAGGGGTAGCTGAAAGATGCTTAGTGATTTTCCTCCTTGGTTATACAGTTTAATGCATAGAAATTAATAATGTTTATAAAAGCTGATGGATAACACTGAGTTTTACAAGTGGTTATTTCATTAGCTCAGATATTGTTATTGATTAATTTTGAGGTAAAGCCAAAGCAGATCTATTTACTTTATCACATGGATTCCTTACAATGCATAGCAGCCACTGCTGATAGTTTGTTTATTGTGGAATATGTGCTATATTACAGGATTTTGTTTCATATGACTTTATTACAGCAGGATTATGGATTTATGTGGTTAGGTTTACCTGATGATATTAGTGTATAACTCAAGAGACCAGTATGTGTTTGTGTGTGCAAAACTAGTTTTCTGGTTAAAGGGCATGGAGGTCTTTGCAACGGTTTTGTTCTGGAGGCTTAAATGTATCTGGAATCACATTTGCAGTGCTAGGTAAGCCTTATTTCTCTAGCTCCTGACTTGTTCTGGCTGCTGATTCAAGTTACACCTACAATCAAACAAAGTGCCTCAAAAGCATACTAAAGCATACTGATAAAAACTGGCAGCATCATTTCTGCCTGGGCTGATAAACAGTGCTTGACTTTCCCATAGCCGCTCTACCACCCACCTTCCTTCAGCTGTAAGTGGGATGTCATGGCAAAATGACAAATGTTCCCTCTTTAATACTTCTTCATGATGAACTGCTTCATATTTCCTTCTGAGGAGAAGTAAAATTCTCAAGGATGATAATTCCTTCAAGTTTTCTACACTCATGGAAGACAACCAAACCACATCAGTATTTCATTATCTTCTCTTTGAAAATGGTGATGTTATGTAATGTATGTGTTAATAAATGTACATGCTATACCACATCCATAGCTCTCCTGGGTGAAATCTTCACTTATGAGCTTCTGCATCATGAAACCAGGAACACAGATTGTGTAATATTCATTCTATAGGAATATTCAACATTGCAAGGGATGCTATAATTATTCTACAGTGCATTTGGATATGTGATTTGTAACAAATAGTTGAACCAAGCTTTGTTTGCATAGTCCAGCAATTTAGAAGGTAATTTATGTGAGCAGAGCCTCCCTGCATTGCTGTGGAATATTTTTAATAGATCAGATGAGAACAGGCAGCTTTTTCCTTTGCACATGCCTCCTATTCTCATTCCTGACCTCATTCCATTAGGCCAGGGATCTTCTTATCAGACTCTTTTTATTTCCTAATCCTTCTGTGTTGAACAAGGCAAATCTTTTTCCTGTAGTCTTCATGGATAACCTCACCAGCAAATTCTTCTCAGAGATTGTTAAATATCTGGAGCGTGAAATTGTGTGGAGACTTTTGAAACAGAAATGGAAATGTAAACTCAGCACATGCATTATAGTCACGTGTTATGTGATTAAACTGTTTGATGTCTGTAATAAGGAACAAGGTAAACTTCAGATTAAGACCAGAATTTTATGACTGTTAAAACCAAGCAATTAGACAAGAAAATGTGGAATATTCCTTTGAAAAACATCAGTCATTTTAACTACATACATGTTTATTATTGGTGCTTTTTGTCCATACAGTCACAGTATTGCAAAAGTCAGGAAGCAGAAACTGATTTTTATATCAGGCTTTATTTTCAGCGTCCAGAATAATCAAAGATTTTTTTCTTGATGTTTTGGACTTACTTTCTGTTTAAATCTTTATCTGTACCTTATCCTATTTTTTGCCTGTTTTTAGGAGAGTTTTCCTTGTCTCTGCACGCATCAATGCTGTTTCCTGCTTTGAGAATGTATAATAGATATCTGCTCTTCGAATACAGCTTTATCAGCAGCGGTAGCTGCATTTGAGCACATATCTTAGGGTGATACCATAAGCCTTTACTTGCTGGTAACAAAGTAACATAGGACTTTTCCTTTGTCAAAATACATATCATCTAATGTTTATTTCTCCACTAGTAGGGGTTTTACACTGTCAGTGACCTAATTTTTGAAAAATCCAAACATTATTAACCTTTAGCTTTCAAAGATTGGAAACATGTAGTGTATTGCAACTGTTCAATCTAAAGAGTAGATGTAGAAACATTATAAAAGAGAAAATTTGAGATTTTACCTTTTCTGGAAATACACTTCTTCCCTTTGCTGTAATCTTCTGAAGCTCCTCTGCTTCATGTAATTTTTTAAAAAAATAACTGTCCATGTTTCAAAGGTTATTTTAATGAATATTTTTTCGGTGTATAAATTACCCTTCAGGTAATTGCACCCCTTTAAATATCATGCAGCTAATTCAGTACTTTTGATAACTCTCACCAGTTAGATAGTCATTGTTACAAAGTATTGTAGATAGAGGAGAAAGATAAATACCAGAGGAAGTATTTAATCAAAATATTTACACGTGTATATAAATCACAGTTCTGAGGAATCAGGAGTCATTTTTTATCTTGGTGAGGCTTTTTTTTTTTTTTTTTGCTTTTTTTGGAAATAAACACAGTTTACCCATGTGAAAACACAAGAAATCCTTAAGCTTTCTGTGCTGAATTTCATCAGCTTTCTAACCTGAACTGTCCGACCTCATAAAAACATTTCCCTCCCTGAATTTTTTTTGCCCTGTGCTTTGCCCTGTAGCCTTATCTCCATGTCCAAATTAATTTTGGGCATGTTCGCAGAGCTGATTGCAGGCAGAATTGAACTTTGTTCCCTCGGGGAGCCAGCTGGCTGGGGGCCGGCTCTGGCCAGGCTGCAGTGCCCGAGCCCATGAGCTGTGCCATTAGACGCCTCCGGGCAGCAGGCAGGCAGGGTCGTGCCTCGCACTTCAGAGACAGCTGGTGCCTGCCCGGCTCAGAGCCTCGGCAAGGAGACCTCCTGCCTCTCTGAAAGACCTTTGTCTCCCTCCTTCTGGAGGCTCAAACAAGGAAGGCATTTAATGATCTTCTGCACTTATCTGTACTAGCTGTTATTTGAACCCTTTTCTCGTCTTGTAATGTCTGCCTTTTACTGGCGTTTCTTTTCGGCTTAGCCTATCACACGTCTTTGAAACCTTTTAATATGGTTTATCGTGTGCTTTGCTAATTAAAACTCATGTTCTGTTTTAAGTTTTCTGCTTTTCCCTAGCGCAGGGAGGCTTACACTCATCCTTAATAGCCAGTGCATTATTTTCTGCTTTTTCCTTGATCTCTTCTCCACATTTAGGTTGCACCTTTTTATCCTTCAGAAAAGCCTTGGTCATCTCTGCCTCCTAGCGAGCTAAAGTGACAACACTTCATAACACTGAAGATCATGTCCCCTTTCTCATACTGTGTTTAGTGCCCACGCTGCCTTCACCCCCAAAGTGCAATTTTTAGTAAAATTTAAATGTGTTATTTAAACTAAATACTGAAAAAAGTACTCTGGCTACACATAGCTTTTCATTTATGTGTGAAACAACAGAGTCCTCCTCTAACATCAATAACCTAGCTGTGAATATATAGTATTTGTTCATAGCCTGTTGTGAAATGAATGCTGAAAGCAAAGTTTGTGATTTTTCCCTAAATCAGAAGATGGAATTTGTTTTTAATCTCAGCTGGGATGGGAGTATATGCAATTCGTCATGAAAAATCCTAAGTATGCCTGAGGGGCTTTAATGTGGACTTTGCAGTAAGTATGCCCACAACTGGAAGAGTTTCTGCTGAAGACCTGCTTGAGCAGATATGATTTCTGCACACTTTTTTCAGAAGCTCAGCTTGAACCTATAAACAGAGGTTAACCTTCCTTTTAACAGAGAAATGATGTAGCTGTGCTTTTCTTCTTGGGCCTCTCTGGATGTACATTTTGTGCTCTAAGGAAGGACTGTTCTCACTTGCTGAGTTTGTAAGCTGTATATTTCAATGATGGTGACTTTTTGCTTTATATGAATCACTCTATTAAATTTCATAGTTACTTCTCCAAAATGTGCTGAGTACTGCAATTAATTCTTTAGGAGTTCATCTTCTTTCTATTTGCACTTATATGTGCTTCTACTCGTCACTTTGATTTCAGTGGCGCTGTGAAAGAATGGTTGATTGGAGAATTACTTATTGTTGGTCCCTTCAAATATACCAAGTGGCTTGCAAGAAACACAGCCTTTTAGCCTTTGAAGCTAGCTTGTGATAGTTCCTTTTTTATCCTTTAGCTCCTTGCTGTTGCTTGATAAATAGAAAGTTCTAAATTGCTTCTGTTAAATTTAATGTGTCAATGTTACAAAACCAAGAGATTTTTCACAATATATATTTAATTTGACAATTGGTGTGAATGTGTCACCCTTCAGCCCTGTTAGTTTCCAGATTAACATTGAAATAATTTTAAAGAGAAGTGGGCAGTAAGGAGGTTTCCATTTTTGCAGCTGGGAGATTTTTGAGAAAAAACAATAAGAAATAGAGAGTAAAGCAGAAGGTTTTCCTGAAGAACCACCTGTGTTTTTGAAATACCACTCAAACCACTTCACACATTTAATGAGCTGCATTCAACTTCTCAAATATTATGTAATTCTCTGTAGCAGTGGGTGTGTTTATCTATAGATCAGTCACTCAATCACAGAATATTCTGGGTTGCAATGAGACCCACAGGGATCATTGAGTCTGACTCTTAAGTGAATGGCCTGTGTGGGGATTATGTGCTCTATAAAAATGCTATAATAATATCTGTTTTAACCAAAAGCTGTTATTTTAAAAATGAAGTAATTTGTATGAAAAATGTCTATACAGTCTTATATTCTCTATTTGTTTGAAGTGAATTCTTTTAATAATACATGTAGCACAGTTTTAATAAGTATAGTGTTGAAGTAGTTTTTGGTACTTTTTTGTCTTTCCCTTGAAAAACTCCTGCATTTTAAATCACAACCAGTAAACACTCATTAAAAAGTAGACATTGATGTGAAACAGGATGTTTGTGAAAACAGGATGTTTTTAGTGGCATTTTTAAACAAGCAAAACCTAGGAAAGATAATTGAATATTAATCTGTGAATGAAAACTATCAAAAATCAAGAACTGAATGAACTTCAAAGTCTTTAAACCTGATTCTCCAGGACATGTGAGAGATGTATTTTTAGGGAAAATATAAAAGAGAACCCCATTACTTAGCTTGTGGGTTTTGTTCCCTTAACTTTGAGAACAAAAAACCCAGGTTTTTTCTTTTTCAATGTCATTCTGACACTAGTGTGATAAGCAGTGTACAAATGTAATTTTCTGTTTTGATTTCAAAAATGTCAAGTTAACAGTATAATAGATCTATCAAAAATAGAAATTGATTCTCAAAACCAGTAACAATCCCAGGGCTGTATAATGCTTGCATTGTCTAACTTGAGTTTCCTACTTCTTTTTTTTTTGTCTATAGACACCCTATTTTTGGCCATCAAATTGTTGGGAGCCGGAAAACACAGACTATGGTCAGTGTAGAAATATTTCCTGTTTCTTTTGGAAATCATGCATTTTATTAATGAATGTGTCATTGCAATCTGTCTTGTTTCACCATCCCACTGTTTAAAACATAATTATGTGTCATGTAATTCCTGTGCAAGAGCTACTGATATTGAAATGAATGTGTTGCTACCTTTTTCAAAGTTTTTCAGAAGCTTATCAAAGTCATATTTTGGAGTGGATCTGAGGAAAAAAGAAAAAAACCCAAGCCCCAAAATGCAAGACTCATCAAAACCTACCTTGCTATTCATATCCTCTGCTCCAGCAAGTGTAATTATTTACAGTGAGAGAATCTCAGTGAAGCAGAGGAGACTTTATTGATGGTTGTGCAATGGTTATTATCAGATTGAGACCCAAAGATTTGCCTAGTTTAGAATGCTTATTTCCAATATACACCATCTGGAAAATTACTGATGATGAAAACTAATATAGTTCTAATATGAGCGGTATTAGAAAATACATTTTATTTTTTATCTGCCTGTGTCTTGGGAGTTTATTAGTAAAGTATATATTGTAATTACTGATGTGTGCTTAGACAGCAAAATCTGAGGATAATAGGTAGCAATGTATTAGGAAAAAAGTATTATTAAAAATTATAACAAAGTTAGGTTCCTCTGTACATCAAATGGTGACCTAATTTTTAAAGAAAGTGTATCTATGAGCAGCCTGCTGTTCATTCTAATCCAAACTGTAAGTACTGAGTGCATTTGAAGACCAGGTCACTTATTTAGGTAACTGAATGTGTACATGATAGGTTATGTTCTCAAAATTTCAGACCATGAATATCTCTTTTTATAGCTTTTCAGAAATTTAGGTGAGTGTTCACTTGTAATTAGGATTCTCTGCCCTTGGGAGCCAAAGACTTCAGGGATGGATGGTTCCAATAAATTCTTGCTTCCTTTTTAGAGCAGACTGAGTTTAATTTCAAATACATTGCTAAATAAAGTAATTTTAAGCTGAAACTCTCAGCAGAGCTGCATGTTTCCAAGGTACAGTTTGAAAATGTGACAGTTTCCTCATCCTATAGGAGTAGAAAAATGTTCAATTTTTTATTGATATTTGAGGATGTCCAGTAAATAGTTACTGAAAGCTCCCAAGGACAAGGGGTTCTTACCATGTGTGTGCGCTTAGCCACTCCATATGAGAAAATTAGTCACTGAAGGAAAAATGATTGATTTACCATTTATTGCTTCATTAAAGTCCTCTAATATGTTAAAGATCAACAAATAATTAACTATGTTTTAAGAGACATTGGGTTATTCAGCTGTTATATGTACCACGTTACCGGGATGGTTTTAATAAATAATTATATGCTTAACGTGTCTGAATTTAAGATCAGGCTGAGAAACTATATATTAATATCCTTTAGTCTAAAGTAGGTGATACTTACTTTCCTATCACAGCTGATCTGTGGATTGGTCAATGTTATAAACCTTAGTCAGTAAATAAAAATCTTGTATAATGTGTCCAGGTTTGCCTGCCAGGAATACGGAGTTAAACTTGGCATCAGTGTCTTCATCATACAGGGAGATGCTTTTGTTGAACAGTAAATTTACTCATTTGAGAGCTTTTGAGATTTAAATATGTTTAGTTGCTGAGGTAAACTCTTTGGGTGCAGAGGGGAGAAGGAAGGGGAAGCAACCCCCCCAATTCTGCTATCTTATTACTTCTTCCATGTCATGAGCCAGAAGTGCAGTCCTGTATGAAACAGACCCACAGCTTCCCTGTGCAGCACGGCCAGAGCATCATATTGGAGCAACCAAAGGTGACTGTGTGTCACCAGAACTGGATAATGCTAGGGCATTTGCAGGAAAATAGAATTTTAAGGCATCTTTTCAATACTGTTCTTATTAGGTTAGCATCATCCAAGTCCCAGAAATTAACATTTCCCTTGTAAACAATGGTGATCAGAGGAATACAGGGAAATCAAAATATTTAAGGAACCAAAATTAATCTAAAGTAGGTTTGCATGTTCTGCAGATTTTCACAGTAATTGTTACCTCCTGGAAAATATAGTACATAGAATTTATGTTACTACAGATATGCAAATGCATTTCGCACTTATCATGCATTATGGTGCTGTGTAGTGCTACCAATTTCATGGACTTATCTTGAACAAGTTAAAACTGTGTCCTCTAAAATTATTGACTGTGGCAGGCATTAGAAGTCTCTCAAGACTGGCAAAAAGCAAACTCTCTCTGTAATCTTCCTTGATCAAAGTTACGAACAAGGCAAATCACTTTCTTTGCCATTAACTTATTTTAACAAGCCACTGGAAATACTCTAGAATTTTATTTGAGTTTAAAAATTAATCCTAACCATTCATCTTTACTCATCCATAACTGGGCTACTGTCCAGAATGCAGCACACTGCCAGGAAAATAATTTATAATAAACAAGAAATTAAATGAGATTGAGATACCAGTGTTAGTTTATTACCAGAACTAAGAAACAAATAATCCTTACATATTTGTATAACATGTTAATATCTTTTTAAAAATATAATTTGATCTATATGATCTTGTAATATCAATTATTTGCCTTACAAAATATTTTTTCTGTAGAAAGTATATTTGAAAAAGACATACAAACAGAATGTTCCAATATGTCAAAAAACCACAGACACATTCTCATAGTAAAGGTGTAGTGAACTGCTACGTCGTGGTGGCAAAAAGGACTTGGATTAAGTTAATTTATGTCAAAATGGAAAATAGCCTTTAGATTGCAATTTCCAAAATATTGACTATGATCATTCTGAGGTTACTGAGAAACTACCAATTTTCATAAAGTGCGGAAAATCACCCTGCTTTTTCTTGAAAATCATGCTTTAAATGTTGTCAAGAGAGATTTCTCAAATTGCAAATAATTTTTACAAAGGCAGGTCATTAAGTTCCATCTGTTGAAGTCCATTTTAGTGCCATATGTCTTGGAGTCCACCCAGGCAGGACATGCTGTTCTTTGTAGAATCCCATTGGTTTTAGAGTGATTTTGTTAGTGAAAATAAGTAGTAATAATAACAACTACTATTATTAAGGTTAGTGTAGTTCAAATAACTTTGCTTTTTTTCTGTGAGTTAAGTCATGTTCCCTGAGTTATGATTAGGTTTTGTGGCAAAAAGGATTGGATCTCAATTCAGAAAAACTGGCTCTTGAAGTGAACACAGCTAGTGGCTGAGCATGTGACCTGCTTGGAATTCTCTTCTCTTTTCTTACAGATATAATTTTGTAACTGACAGTTGTTTTTTTTCCAGGCATATTATAAACAGGTCATGTCATTAAGAAGTATTTAAATAGGGAGGCTAGTTAAGCCAGTTGCATCCCAGAAAGGGGAAATATAATGCCACATATGAAGTGGTTATTCTGTGTGCATTTGGTCTCAGTTCTAATAGAACCTGTCAGGTTCTCTTGGAGGTTTAGTGACTCACAGCTATTGCAAATTTGAGGCATTTAGTCCATTACTGTCCTCTTTTTTGAATAAGTAGAAAATATGAAATGTTAGGGAAAAATTCCATTCACAACAAAATTACAATTATTTGCCCTTTTTAAAAAAATTTTAGGCTTAATTTAACATATTTGTGAAAATATAAGAGGCTTATATGAATTTCAGATGTAAAATAAGAAGAATTAGTAACTTTTACGCATTTTCTCTAGTGAACTTTTGCTGATAGTGCCCTACTGTCAGAGGGCACTCAAAAGTTTCTTTGACATATCACACTTTTTCTTGCAGTTAAATGCATGTTTAAAAAAGAGATCTGCTCAAAGGAGAGAAAGAATAAAATTTAGTAAGTGCCACAGTCACTTATAGTCTTAAGGAAGTTTGGACATACTAGAAGACAAAAAGTCAACTGCGTCTATATAGTTGCAACAGGATGTTTGAGCATTGTAGGTTTTTTTTTGTGTGCATTTCTCTCAAATGAGTTAAAATGAAAGAGGACTGCAGAATGTTGGTAAGTTATAGAGAAAACTTATAGAGTTACTTATCAGTTATAAATAACTGATAATGCAACATGAGTTTAAGAGCACTTGACCATATGATCTTTAAATGATGCTAAATGAGACTGTTTTTCTCTATATTCAAAGCAAATTCTTAAATTCTCTTGCTGTGAAGAAGGACAAGTTTTGAAAATGTAACATATTTTCAGTAGCCTTCCAGGTAAAGTCATTACAAAGTATTACAAAGGAAATTAGAGCAATCATGGGGCTTGGGGTAAGTCTTAATTAATTACTCCCTTTTAAACTGTGAGATACTTGTCTGGATAAATGCTGCAGCTCTTTAGATAGTCATCACTTCGTTATCTATCCTGTGTTACAGTAAAATAGAGTAGCCATTTACTTTTGTTGTGTCAAAGCTGTTTCATTGTTGTTCTCCAGCATTTTTAAGAAAGTACAAGCCTGTCCTTATTAAATGTACTTGGTAATCAGCTAAAAAGTCAGTCTGAAAAACACTTCCTTCCTAATGATACTTTCTTATTGCTTAGAAGTAAACTGACAGAGGCCTCTCCATGTTTTGTCTCTGCTGCTCTGTTCTGAACATGAGCCATTTCACCTGGCTCATTTCCCTCTTCTCTCCCAAACTCACAGTAATGCTAAGAAGTACATACTGCACAAAAAGTAACTGCAGTCACATACCATGCTTTTCACATGTTGAAAAATTTCCTATAATTTTCTCTTTAGAGTCTCTTGCCTAGTTATTTTCCATGCTTAGCTTCAAATTCCTCTGAAAATTTGAGTAGCCCAGGAATTTTCTCTCTCATTTGTCTTTCTGTACCCTTTACCATAGAGTGACTATTTGGAAGAACTGTGTGGAGAATGCATTATATATTTTCATTGCCCAAATACACAGGAAGGATTTCCTTGGCAACAGCTTATTAGTAATTGTATTTGAGACATACTGATCCCTATTTCTTACCTGAACTCTGCTGGAGCACTGCATGTTCTCAGCATCTCTTGAAATCAACTCAAAATTATGAG